AATAAGAACACTCCGGTGATAAATTTAAATTTGAATTTTAGTTTCCCAAAGGTCTACACACTAAAATATCATGTATATAAGGACAGGTTTTTACAAAATGATGAAAATACTAATTCATACAAATCTGTTGAAATTGACGTTGTTTGTCTATTTCTTGAAACCATTTCTCTCTCTCTCTTTCTCTTCAAACTCTAGACTTGACGAAAACACCATTGTAGCCCATCTGCATTATCAGAGTGACGTCGGTGGAGGTGGTGACATCACCGATGGTGAGGTGGACCACCGAAAAATGCCACAGTAATTAGACCCTCTTTGTTTCAGAAATGGCAAAGAAGAGAAGGAGGAGAGTACTGGAGGTTCTATGGCCCCGTTTGGTAGAGTTGTGGAAAAGTGATTATAGATTATAATTTAACATATTATGACTTATAGCTGTGGGATTATGAATTTAAGCAGCAGAGTGGTGTTTGGTTAATAACCTGTAAAATAACTTTTTAATGTATAATTATCCTTTCTATCCTTATATGATGTAAAAATGATTATTTTGTCATTTTTTTCGGTTTTAATTTTTTAAAAAAAATATTTCATTAATAAAAGTTAATATAATTAGTATTAATTTGTAACAACCCACATTCATGTCCTAGTCATGTTTACTTGCATTTATATGTTTTGCCATGTTAAGTTGCTGTAACAATCCATATTCATGTCGTAGTCATGTTCATGTTCATTTACATAAGGCCTTGTTAAGTTTGCATTCATGGATCTTGTCTTGTTTGCTTAAGTGTTGCTTGCATGCTTTGTTCCTTCCTTGGTGTCTCAAGCCTAAGTTATGTTAAGCCTAGATCATTCCAAGCCGAGGTCATCTTCAGTCTAGAATTTATCTTGGAACCCCTTTGTTTGACCTCCACCTTCGTCCTGACATATTGGCCGAGATGTCATTATCTAGGCCGAGATGTTCATCACCAAGGCCGAGATGTGTATTATCTAGGCCGAGATGTTACATTTGCACCTAAGTGATCTTGTCCTGGAGTGGTATGACCTAGACCGAGGTGTGGCACATCTAGGCCAAGGTGTGGCACAGCTTAGTCAAGTGTTGTCCTTCCTAGCCGAGGTCATTGTCACCTTAGTTGCCGAAGCTTTGTCCTTAGCCGATGTCATCACTTGCCGGAGTGCCTTACCGGGTAGCTTGTTAGATACACTTTGTCTTACAGATGTCTTGTCAATCTATCACCTTTTTGAGGAGAACCAACCAGCCGTTGCCACGTGTCCGAGCTGAGTGTTAAGTCAGCCGATAGAGAGAGAAAACCTATCATTTCTATATCCTTGTTTTTGAAGAGGAGAGAGAAACTCTAGGAGAGGAAGAGGAGTTCTTGAGAGGAGGTAGATTTCCAAGCTTGATCCCTAGAGATCGAACCGTTAGATCTGTGTTCTAAGGTTAGATTCTTGATCTACTCATGTTGTTCTTTATGTGCATGTTATTGCATTGCATGATTGAATATGATTTGTAAGCCATGCATTGCTTTGAAGTTCGGTTTTAGAAAGAGAAAATAGCATTCATGTGTTCTTCAAGAAAAGCCATGTTTTGATCCGAAACCTCACGCCAAGATCCATGTTTTTGTGTTTGTTTTCACATGATCTTCAAGTATGGGTACCCAGGTCCATGTTTTCGAATTCATAGCATGAAATCCCAGATTTTGTAATAAAGAAGTTATGATTTTAGCATTCATATTCTTCATATTCATGTTCTTCCTGTTCTTCACGGGTGGAAACCCAGATCTCCAAACCTCACTTCCCTAGGTGTAGTCGCCGAGATCACTCTTACCTAGACCTCACACTTAGGCCAAGCATCGTATCTCACCTTGGCCTGCCTTGCATGATCACTTACACCTTTAGTTTGTCTTGTGCGCACCTCGGCATGCAGCCGCACGCCGAAGCCTAGGTAGCCACACCTCGAGGTGTGGGACCTCGACAAAGACCTGATTGGTACCCAACATGTCTTCCTGACATGTAAAACAGTGTTTTAACTTCCAGCATGTTTTCCCAAGATCATTTGCATGCATGTAAGACTTGTTTTGAGAAGTACGTTCAGTGGACTTTGCCATGTGTTTGTAGGACTTAGACCTTTACCTTGATCCCGATGTCCCAAGAACTATGTGAGTGGTATTTTTAATAAAGCCATGTTATAAGGTTTTGATAAAGCTTTGCCTTGTTTTGATAAAAGTATTTGTTAAGCATGAATGATATCCCTATTTTATGTATCAAGTATAAGCTTTGTTTTGGATGACATTCTTGGAACCGTCCTTTCGTGTTTGGGGACTTCAAGCCTAAGTAACACCGTCCTTTCGTGTTAGGGGACGTTAAGCTTAGGTAACATAGTCCGTACGTGCCAGGGGACTTTAAGCATTTGTGGCACAAGTCCTTAGTGTCAGGGGACTATAATGCAACTACACATCTTGTTTTGAAAGTCTTTAGTGCCAGGGGACTATAATGCAACTGCACATCTTGTTTTGAAAGTCCTTCGTGCCAGGGGACTATAATACAACTGCACATCTTGTTTTGAAAGTCCTTCGTGCCAGGGGACTATAATGCAACTGCACATCTTGTTTCGAAAGTCCTTAGTGCCAGGGGACTATAATGCAACTGCACATCTTGTTTTGAAAGTCCTTAGTGTCAGGGGACTAAAATGCAACTGCACATCTTGTTTTGAAAGTCCTTCCGTGCTAGGGGACTTTAAGCCTAGGTAGCACCGTCCTTTCGTGTTAGTAGATGTTAAGCCTAAGTAACATAATCCTTCCGTGCTAGGGGACTTTAAGCCTAAGTAGCATAGTCCTTCCGTGCTAGGGGACTTTAAGCCTAGGTAGCACCGTCCTTTCGTGCTAGGGGACGTTAAGCCTAAGTAGCACCCTTGTTAAGATATCGGCCACCGACGGACTATGAACGGGTGTGGTCGATGCCGAGGTTATGCTTTTGTTTTGCCCGGAATGTCATCACCCCATATTTTAAGTTGACATATGTTAAGTAAGTAAGTAAGTTTTGAAAGGCCAAGGTTCGATTGATGTTTTATTTCAAGTCAAGCTAAGCAATGTTATGTATGATTTTGATAAAGGTATACTATGTATTGTTTTGAAAAGATCTCGGGTATCATTCATTTAACCCCTTTATTACTTGTACCATTCACTGAGTATCCAAGCTCACCCTCCCTATATATATATGTAGGTAACAAGCAAGAAGTCGGCTACGTCGAGATGTGTGTTTTGTATGCATGTTATGTCGACAGTGAGGATGTCGACAATTTTGAAGCTTATGTATTTCGAACATGTCGGCTCGAGAAGCCTTTTATCAAGATGTAATATGTATTTTATTTTGGTTGTATTCAAGTTGTAAAGCTATGTAAAGTTGTATGTCATTTTATTTGACTTATGCACAGCTCTTATGAACCACTCGTATTGTAAATTATTGCTTCCGCACTTGTGAGCCCCATATATTTATACTCTGATTGTGTGTGAACCTTGTAAGTTGGCCTTCGGTAATCTCGGATTACTGGCCATCACGGCACCATCCTACTAATGGCGGTTTGGGGTCGTGACATAATTAGTATCAATTAATATAAAAATTGATACATTTGCTAAAAATGTAATGGAAGTATTATTGTCACAATTATTTTTCATTATAAATTAATTAATATCAATTAATTGCTTAATTAGTATCAATTAATACTAAAATTATTAATTAGTATCAATTAACGGCTTAATTAGTCTCAATTAATACTAAAATTATTAAATAGTATAAATTAATATTAATAATCAACAATTCACTACAAGAATTTTCACTTTTGGCGACTATATTTTTAGTCGCCAAAAGTCATTTTTTAGTCACCTATAGTCTTTAGCGACTAAATTTTTTGGTCGGAAAATTAGTAGCTGAAGAGTAGTCGGGAAAGCTAAATGGCGACTAAACTTAATTTAGTCACCAAATGTCAATTAACGGCTTAATTAGTCTCAATTAATACTAAAATTATTAAATAGTATAAATTAATATTAATAATCAACAATTCACTACAAGAATTTTCACTTTTGGCGACTATATTTTTAGTCGCCAAAAGTCATTTTTTAGTCGCCTATAGTCTTTAGCGACTAAATTTTTTGGTCGGAAAATTAGTAGCTGAAGAGTAGTCGGGAAAGCTAAATGGCGACAAAACTTAATTTAGTCACCAAATGTATTCATTTGCCGACTAAATATTTAGTCGCCAATAGGTTGAAAAATTAAGTAAATAATAAATTTTTGCTGACCAATTTTTTTGTTGCTAAAGCCAATTATTTAGTCACGGAAAAATTTTTAGCTACTAAATTTTTTAGTTGCCTAAAGCAAATACTAGTGTTTTGGCTACTAAAATTTTAGTTGCCTAAAGTCAATCTTTTTTGGCTACTAAAACTTTAGTCGCCAAATACTATTTATTTTGGCTACTAAAAATTTAGTGGCCTAAACATCCACATTTTTGGCTACTAAATTTTTAGTCGCCAAAAGTATTTTTATTCTTCAACTTTTGTTGTTAGCTACAAAATATTTTAGTCGCCAAATATTTGATTTTCTTTTAGGTACAAAACTTTTAGTAGCCAAATGTTTTTTTTTTTATTTTTTTTTACTACAAAACATTTAGTAGCCAAATGGTTATTTTTCTTTTGCCTACAAAAAATGTAGTAACCAAATGTTTGATTTTCTTTTTGCTACAAAACTTTTAGTAGCCAAATGTTTGTTTTTTTTTTTTTTTTGGCTACAAAACGTTTAGTCGGCAAAAACATGATATTATGTTTTATTGCAAATATTATAATGTATCCATAACCTGTTTGTATTCCATGCAACCTGTAATAAGTATATAAATAAAATGATATATAAACTATCAATCATTCCACAATCTGCATCCGTATACAAAAAATAAATTACTTTAACTGTCCAAGTACATACAAACCAACTATTGTCCAAACTAAAATAATAATTCCATACAACATATAGAATCATACAAAAAGTAAAGCCCTCCATATACAAAAATTACATTTACTATACCATGTGAAATAACCATTTGGCATGGTACAAATTACCATCGTAATCTGTACCACGACAAAAGGTGATGTATGTACCAAGCCAAAAATACATCTATGTATCATGACAAAAAATCATGTGTTTGTACGGCGTCAAAATGTGATTTATCTACCATGCCAGTAATTATTTGTTCGCTGCCAAAAGTTTTCTGTATCAGTAATAGTTAACTGCACAAAAGTCGGAGACGACAAAAGTATTATATTACTTCTATACAAAAGTACAATTTCTTCTCCATACACCAAAATATTTAAGTATTATATTACTTAAATATAATATAACACACGTGCGTACGTTTAAAAAATTAGCAAGTTTAAAACAAGGCGTAAACTGAGTTCATATTGGTTTCTGAATATTTTTTCCATAATTTTCCATTATTATGCATCTCCAATACATTCCGTCAGTTGCCACAAGTCCTATTTGTAATGGGGAAGCTGCCCGTGAGAGTTAAACGGAGGTTCAGGGGCTATTTTGAAGTTTTACTCCCGAAACGCCATTTTTCGACTAAGTTGTCGGCGTATTCGGCTCTAAATCCCTATTTACGAGTCCGAATAACATATCATCAGTTGTCACAAGTCATATTTGACATGGGGAAGCTGTTTGTGTCGGTCACATGGCGGTTCAAGGGCTGTTTTGAATTTTCGCCCCTGAAACGCCCTTTTTCGACTAAGTTTTGGACGTATTCGTCTCTAAATCCCAATCTACGAGTCCGAATAACATTCCGTCAATTGTCACAAGTCCTATTTGGCATGGGGTAGCTGTTCGTTTCAGCCACACGACGGTTCAAGAGCTGTTTTGAATTTTCGCCCCAAAACGCCCTTTTTTGACTAAGTTTTGGGCGTATTCGTCTCTAAATCCCAACCTACGAGACAAGTTCTATTTGGCATGGGGAAGGTGTTCGTGTCGGCCACATGGTGGTTCAAGGGCTGTTTTGAATTTTCACCCCCGAAATACCGTTTTTCGACTAAGTTTTGGCGTATTCGTCTCTAAATCTCAACCTATGGGTTCGAAAAATATTCCGTCAGTTGTCACAAGTCATATTTGGTATGGGGAAGCTGTTCGTGTCGGTCACACGGTGGTTTGGGGGCTGTTTTGAATTTTCGCCCCCGAAACGCCCTTTTTCGACTAAGTTTTGGGCATATTCGGCTCTAAATCCCAACCTACGAGTCTGAATTACATTCCGTCAGTTGTCACAAGTCATGTTTGGCATGGGGAAGGTGTTTGTGTCGGCCACACGGCAGTTTGGGGGCTGTTTTCAATTTTCGCCCCCAAAACTCTCTTTTTCGACTAAGTTTTAGGCGTATTCGGCTCTAAATCCCAACCTACGGGTCCGAATTACATTCCGTCAATTGTCACAAGTCATATTTCGCATGGGGAAGCTGTTCGTGTCGGCCACACGGCGGTTTGGGGGCTGTTTTGAATTTTTGCCCCCGAAACGCACTTTTTCGACTAAGTTTTGGGCATATTCGGCTCTAAATCCCAACCTACGAGTCCAAATTACATTCTGTCAGTTGTTACAAGTCCTATTTGGCATGGGGAAGCTGTTTGGGTCGGCCACACGGCGGTTTGGGGGCTGTTTTCAATTTTCGCCCCCAAAACTCCCTTTTTCGACTAAGTTTTTGACATATTCGGCTCTAAATCCCAACATACGGGTCCGAATTACATTCCGTCAGTTGTCACAAGTCCTATTTGGCATGGGGAAGGTGTTCGTTTCAGCCCCACGGTGGTTCAAGAGCAGTTTTGAATTTTTGCCCCCGAAAAGCCGTTTTTCGACTAAGTTTCGGTGTATTCGTCTCTAAATCCCAACCTACGGATCTGAATAACATTCCGTCAGTTGTCACAAGTCCTATTTGGCATGGGGAAGGTGTTCGTGTCGGCCACACGGCGTTTCGGGGGCTGTTTTCAATTTTCGCCCCCGAAACGCCTTTTTTCGACTAAGTTTTGAGCGTATTCGGCTCTAAATCTCAACCTACGGGTCCGAATAACATTCTGTCACTCAAAAAGTTTGGATCCTGTAGGCTATACATGCATGAGCAGTACAAATCTTGAATAACCTTAACTGAAGACAACAGATAATGGACAACCATTTCTTATCCAGAAAAACAGAAAGGAGCAAAGACTGTTTCAAACTACGTATGGGTAGCATAAGTGAAACACTAATGTTCCCAAAGTAGAAAGAAATCAATAAAGAAATAGTATGCCTGCTACTATGGTGAACACCAAGAACATAAGAGCATCTGAGCTTATTATAGTGCAAAGCTATGTCAATAAAGTATATCACACTAAGCTTCAAGAAATGACTTATAGAGAGGTTCAGATTAGTCGAAAAGTATATAGTTAGCAGTAAGCTTCAAGAAATGAAAAAATATCCATGTTGAGTATGCAAATAAAAAATGTCGTTTTAAACTGTCAAATATCCAGACTAGTGTCACTAGATTTCATTCGGTAGTTAATATCCAAACAAAAAAATAATGTGAACTTAGAAAAAACATGGGTACATAGATGAAGCTCCCCAATAAATCATTCATTCAAGGAGAGATGGTAGGCAACTACGCACCAGCAGCTTCTGCCTGTTTTGATATGGCGTAGAATGCTGTTGGATTTGAGAATCCTGGGTTTGACACAGCTGCAGAAGTTGCTGATTTGAAGAGAGTGACGATAGGGCTATCTCCCCCATCTTGGGACTGCAATATTTGCCCATCTGCACCAGGAATCAAGCCTAACCATGGGGCTGTTTGCATGAAATGCGTGATATCTACTTCTCTCTGTAGCACATGTGAGACAAGAACTGTGAGAAGCTTGCAGTTAAAAATTTGATACACTACATTATTACAAGTCAACCTAGTAAGCTCTGATCTAGACTCTTCTATCAAATAACGTAGCTATTAATCAGACATTTGATATCGTTATAATTGACCTGATAGGGAGAGATGCAACTGATCATTATAATTTAGTCTTTACAGATTAAGCAATCAATATCTCTCCCTATCAATCTATAAAGAGTAAATTGCATTACAAAGAAAAAATATTTTTTCATGTCATCAACAAACTTTTGTATGAGAGTAGAGTGCAGAAACTTTTAGCTTAAGCTCTTTGCTTAATTGTTCTACTGTGTACCTATCAAGAGACATTTATACTACTATTTTCATTTAATTGGATTCAATATTTTACCGAATAATCTCAGTTATAAATTCAACAAATACACTTGGTCGTCCGACATTTGCCTGTTCACTAATTTAATATATATGTTAGTGCAATGAAATTTACTTCCCACCCTCTTATGAGGTTTTTAAAGGTATAACGAAAAAAAAAATGCATGAAACTCACCAGAACAACATCAAGAAGCCCCATCCAATATAATACACTTCCAATCTCCTTTATTCCACGAAGAACCTCTGCTTTGAGTTCTGATTTTGAACCCCAGTTAAGATGTTCTTTGACAAGCCTCAAACAACCTGATGTACATACAAATAAACTTAAATCCAAGGAAAAGATACGACTTTTAAATATTTTAGGCAAAATTATATTCTACTCTGAGCTACCCGTTACTCCTCCATCGAAAGTGGCCTGTCCAATTGATTTTGGCAATGCATCTTGCAGTCCTGTAATCATTGGTTCAAGGGTAGTTATCTGAAACAGATCAGCCAGAGAAAGTTAGAGAAAACCACAACTAGAAATCTTAACTGGGGGTGGGAAAATGAAATTTCAGCCATTTAAGAAAATTAAGATCGCAACACAGTTGCTCAGGTTTATTCAATTTCTGTTCATTCTTTTTCAGTTCATACTAGGGTATTTATGATGTGTGAATGTTGACACACCCTTAAGCTTTTAAAGTGCTAGTTGCAGTACAAATATGATTAACTAACTGACATGAGACATAAGATAACATGAGATGATGATACATAGGTTGAGAAAAAAATGGCAAGATTCTTAAGGTTTCTTCCTTTATATACCTGGTTTTGGCACTTTGGCGGGTTGCCTGCAATTTAAGAAAACCTATAGCCAGCCACACTTGCTCTCTATTCCCTTTCCTTATCATCATATTGCCCTTCTCCTTTTGTTTTTTCTTCTCCCATACTCATCCCTCTTTTCTTTCCTAAGCAAGGTTAGGTAGTGCAGTGAATCTCATAGGTTGGACAGAAAACTTTTCCCCATTATCCAGGACAAAAACGAATGAGGGATCAAGTAGCTCACTGAAGAATTTCATAACCCAAAAAACCAAAACAGAAAGAAAGAAATAGTAAGATAAAAAATCTTAATAGGACAGGTGCAAACCACAGAGCAAGAGCATTTAGGTAGTGCAGTGAATCTCATAGGTTGGACAGAAAACTTTTCCCCATTATCCAGGACAAAAACGAATGAGGGATCAAGTAGCTCACTGAAGAATTTCATAACCCAAAAAACCAAAACAGAAAGAAAGAAATAGTAAGATAAAACAATCTTAATAGGACAGGTGCAAACCACAGAGCAAGAGCATACCTTGCTGCCCAACTTTTGTAATAGGTAAAAATTGTCTCACACAGCTTTGAAACAAATATATCAAAACAATGATCCACCTAAAAAAGAAAACAAAATATTCACAACTGAATAAAATACACGTCATTGAGACACTCATAGTGAGTTTGAAGCTCGGAGTGGAGATTTTTTGTTCTCATAAGCACTTTCTTCTCTTTCTTATCTACAACTAATGGAACCTGCCATACATTTTCTAGAGGCAAACTCCATATCCCCAAATAAATCCTTTAAACTTTTGTTTATTAAATTCAATATTTATTTGACCGTCATTGAACATTGTTCTTAACCTTTAGCCATTACCGAAAGACCTCAAACGTGTTCATTTAATCAATTGTTGATCTTATACATATATATAAATATGTGTGTGTGTGGATGGGTTTTAAAGTTTGTTTCCAAACATTTCCTTGCATTTTATAATTTTTTTTTTTTTTTTTCATTTCCCTTATGATTCAAAACTTTTCTGAAACTTTTCCATTTCAAAGCTGACCAAATGGAACACCAAAAAAAAACTTCAATCCTTGCTCACCTCCATTAAATATTAGCTTTGATGCTGGAAGTTCACCAAAAAGTTTCAGATTGTATAACAAGGGAAAACATATTATATGCAGATTTTCCATGCACAAGAAAAACCTCCACAAAATAGACAAAAATCATCAAAGAATCTTCACAAGAAAAACTTCACTTTTTTCAATTTTATTCATTCACCTCAGCTTCAATTTCATCATAGAGAAAGCGTTGCCTGAGAATAACTAATGCTTGCAGAGCAGAATCATTATAGATGCCAAATGGCATTAAAACACTCTCCAGAAGACCTGCATTTTGGGACTCAATCATATGATTCACCAGCATCCAGGGAAGAGAGCATTCAACAGGAAAACTGCATATCCAGATAACATGGAGAGAAAGCATATCCAGATAACATGGAGGATACACACTTTTTATGAAGTAATTTTATTCAACCATGGCAGATGGGGCATATACCAACAAAAGAAGAAAAAAAATTAAATAAATAAATAAATAAAATAAAATAAAATAAACTATAAACCCTCTCCAAAAGAAAGCTCTCCCGAAAAATCTAAAAGAGCAAAGGATGTTTCACAAATTTTCCTCTAAGCCAAAAGTGAAACTACGATATAAAGTGGCCTTTAACCTATGTACTGATATTTCACTCTCTTGAAAAGTAAGTGATGCAGTGCCAGAAAGAATAGTACAGCTCCTACACCAGATTCTCTTTGCCCCATATATATTTATATATATATATGTATGTATCTTCCCCAATCTATCTGCTAGTTTACAAAATAAGATAGTCAAAAGGCACAATGTATCAAATACCCAGAAATTGAAACCGTAAAACAAGAAATTGAAACCGTAAAACAAGTAAGGTGCATCAAATTGACTCTAAAAATGGGTCAACGGAGTGAGAGTTTCAAGCATGAGTAAATATCTGGAAATTGAAACCCTAAAGCAAGGTGCATATATAACTCTGCTTATTACAAATATACCTAATAAAAAAAACAAAAACAAAAACTGCACATACATATATATGTATATATATATGATTATAGATTGTGGGAGAGAGCGAGAAAGTGAGAGACGGACGCACGGACAGAGTGTGAAGCAGAGCGCGAAAGCGAGAGAGAGAGAACCTGTGATGTGCAGCTGCGACGGTGGTGAGTTGCGCCGGTGGCGGTGGCGGTGGCCGTCGCATGGCGCCGTACGGTAGGCTACGGCGAGAGGACTGATTTGTGTGAGATTTGGTGAGGTGTGCGTGAAATGTACACTAACAGCTACCAATCTTCTATTTAGTCGCTAAAAAATTAAATTTTGCCGACAAAATTGAAATTTAGTCGCCAATTATAAATATTTATCGACTAAAATATTTTAGTAGCTATATATTTGAACCAATGCCGACAAATTAATTTTTGGTCACCAAATATTATACTTTCGGCGGCTAAAAATGTTTTAGTCGGCAAAGGTGCATTTTTTTGTAACGATTGTTATTAATTACTATCAATTAATAATTAATTCATTACAAAAGTATACAATATTAATTTATTAATAATTAATATTGATTTTTTTAATTAATATTGATTTTTTTTCTTTTTCTTCATAAATATACAATTTTTTATTTATTAATAATTAATACCAATTAATATTGATTTTTTTCGTTTTCGTTAGAAATATATAATTTTTTACTTTTTTAATTAATATTAGTATTAATATTAATTAATATTAATATTTGGATATTGACGAGGGCATTTAAGTAATTTTAGCCCCCACACTAGCTATGCGGTTAAGTCAAAAATTTAAGCACCCCTAACTAGCTTTTGAGATAAGTTGAGAAATAACTTAATTTAAGTTATAAGTTGGTGAACTTAAACTGCACCAAACACAATATTTTAACTTAAATTAAGCTAAAAGCTGAAATAAACGATTTATAAGCTCTACCAAACAGGCCTGATGTGACTTAAATAAGATGATATGACTTAAATAAGATAATAACTTTTTGACTTTTTTTAATTATGCCAAACCAAACCTACATTTTAATAAATTTTATAAATGTTAATAATTATTGAAGCTAATTGGATTAGATCGTATCACATTATCTGTACTTGGAGTAGTTTTGGTCACGTGGTGTGGTGTGGTGTGGTGCTTAGGACACGTGCCATGACATCACGCGTATCGTCACACTTTGTCAGATTTATTTTGATTAGAGAAATGCTTTATATCACTAATTAGCGGTGACTCTAATGATGTGACAGTTGGTCTTACCTACTGCTACGGTGTGTTTGTGCCTTTTTTTTCACAGTCCCGATTCATACCTCTAATTTACCTGCTCTAAACGTAGCTCTAAACAGGTGGCACCCAACAAGGAAGATGAAGCACATTTGCACGTATAGTGCGTGTGCTTCACGTACTGTGTAAAAAAATTAAAAATTCCGCTCAAATGTAAAACAAAGGTAAAACAGAGTTACAAAGATATTTCAAGGTCTTTCCAGATCTACGAGTTGTAGAGCTCTCCTCTTCTGTCCCTCTCCTCCACCGTCCGGCGTCTGGTCCCTCCACTGTCCGGCGTTCGCTGTCTCCCTCTTCGTCTCTATCTTCTTCTCCCTCTCGATCTTCCCTCTCTCGCTCTGAAAGCATTTGCAGATCTATCCTCCCCCGTTCCTCTCCTCCACCGTCCGACGTCTTCTCCATTGTCCACCGTCCGGCGTCTTTTTCCTCTCAGATCTTCGTCCTTACTGTGTCAGCCTCAGGACAGGCTGCTAGCGACATGGTTGGCTGGAAAAGTTGAGGACATTGCTTGTTTTTTTTCCTGTGGTTGTAGTGACAACTGGTTGTACATGTATGTATAAATGATAAGTATTGGCAAAGCTTTCTGGTTCTGGGTTGAAGAACAATGACTCACTGGATTCAACAAAGAGCAAAATGTTTAATTTTATTGCTATATTAGCTGCTTTGTTTTGTTTTTCCACAAAGAGCAAAATGTTTAATTTTATTGTTATCAAAGTCAGAATATTTCTTTAAGGAACAAAATGCAAAATGATTCATACTTTATAAGGTGAAAGATGATTTACCGATAAGAATGGAATGAAATGAAGTTGTCATTTTTCATCTCCTTGAAGAATAATTATTCATTTATGATATTAATGCTTTTTTCATCATTTTTATAATAAACCAAACAAAATCAATATTCTACTGTGAATTATTATCTGAAAAAGCATTCTATTGTGAATGATCATTTCACTACCCTTGCTCTTATGAACTAAACACAACCATAAATCATTAATATACTTTCACCATCATAATGTGATTAATGGGGTTCAAACTGGTGACCTCACACCAAAGTTCTTATGCTGCAGAATTCTTATCTTCTTAAAAACACATCATATTTATATCAACATTCATTGCCTTTCGCACCAGTCAATTGTAACAACTTTTTATTCCATTCTAAACCAATGCTTCCTTGATACAATAAAAAACTTGGAACACTAACAAACAGAGACTTTCTTTGAATTCACTATAACAAGCAATAGTTCAAATCCACTGTTTCTTCCACAACTGTCGACCCAGTTGGCTTCCTTGGGATTGCAAGTTGGTAGTTTGGGTTGATCAACGTGTCCTGCTCAGGCGGTAGGAATTCCTGGCCCTGCTATTGATTTTGGCAATGGGATTTTGTTCTTGTTCCTAGCCAACTCCAGCAGAACCTGATGCATTGTTGGGGATAGCAGATTATTGACTTTTCAAATCAAAATACTAGCAATAATCTTCTACTCATTTTTGTTTTCCTCTGAAGAAAATCTAGTTCTGAAGATGTTTCAAACCTACGAACAATGGTATATGAATAAACACCGTTGAATAAACATCATTCGATGGTTTGGGTCGCTCTTTGGAACGGAGACTCGGTCGACAACAGAAGATACAAATTTGATCAGCGGTTGGACAGAGAGTCGAGAGAAGACAGAGAGTCCTCCTTAATCCGGCGGGACTGACGAGAAGCGAGAAGCGAGAGAGTCGATCGTCAGGAGGATCGAGGGAGACAGAGAGGCTTGCAGACAGAGTCGATCGTCAATGGGGTTCGAGTAGAGCTGCTCTCCGTCGGGGAGTAAGAGGTCGAAGACAGCAAATAGAGAGAGAAAGAAGAGAAGGTTTTGAATATAGAGAGAGAAGATTCTGAAAATAAATTGAAATTTGAAATCAAGAATGAGAAAGAGAGAAAGGCGAGTTAGAGACCGTGTTGCCACTAACGTGCCACGTCATTAGTGCCCGCTCTAGAGCTCTTGCTCTAGAGCTCTGAAGCATTTTTGTTTTTTTCAGTTGCCACCTCACTAGTGGTGGAATTAGTGATGGCAAATTAGTGGTCTATAACATTACTCTTTTGATTATATTTTAATGATTTGAATTATTTATATTACAACATATAAAAAATAAAATTAATCGAACAAATATAATTTCATGATCAAGTCAAATAATAATCTTAAGAAATTATTAAAATTATATTTATTCTTTATTCTTTTAAACATAAACGTGAATTTATTATAAATTATAAACATTTCACTAATTTGAATATTTTTAAATTATATATTATATAAACGATTCGAATTATTGTCCTCTTGTATACCCAATAGCCCGTCTAATCATGTCTAGTCTATAGACCACACATTGGATTCACTTGGAAAGTCGGTTAGCTTTTTGATTTTTTGATTTTTTTAAAAAATTTCGTTTGAAAAAGGATTTTTTATTTTTTTGACTTTTTGTAAGATAAAGAATATAATAATTATGGGTTAAATGTAATATTTTATATTGAGCTAAAAAACTTGTTAATCTTAAGAAATTATTAAAATTATATTTATTCTTTATTCTTTTAAACATAAACGTGAATTTATTATAAATTATAAACATTTCACTAATTTGAATATTTTTAAATTATATATTATATAAACGATTCGAATTATTGTCCTCATGAACACCCAATAGCCCGTCTAATCATGTCTAGTCTATAGACCACATATTGGATTCATTTGGAAAGTCGGTTAGCTTTTTGATTTTTTTATTTTTTTAAAAAGTTTCGTTTGAGAAAGGATTTTTTATTTTTTTTACTTTTTGTGAGATAAAGAATATAATAATTATGGGTTAAATGTAATATTTTATATTGAGTTAAAAAACTTATTTTATCTTTTTATAACTAAAATAGTCCCAATCTTCTTCCCAAACGAAGTCATTCATGGATAACCTCACATATCATTATGTACTACAAAAACAAATTATTTCATTACAAAATATAAATCCATCAAAGAGTTGCATTTGAGGATATTGAATTGAAGAAAAAATATATATATATATATATAAGGGTCGCTTTACAGTGTCAATATAAATACTTTAAAAAATATATTTGGTTTGTAAATTTGAAAAGTGACTTAAAAAGGGTCCTTTCCAACTACCTAATAGAGATGAGTTAATTAACATTATTCTGCTCAAAATTTTTATTCATTATTTGATTAGAAACCCTAATATAGATGAGTTAATTAACATTATTCTTCTCAAAAATTTTATTCATTATTGATTAGAAACCCCAAATAATTGATGTCACATAATATTCCGAAAATATTGAATTTACTCAAATAGTGCTGCTTATTATCCCCAATAAATAAATGGAAAATACTTTGGACCCCCACCACCCCCCACTGATTTTTGATTGGATGAAAACTTTTTTTTTTTTTTTTTTGACCTTGCCCTCACAACCCCCCATGTGGAGGTGGGGGGTGCTGGGGTCACCTCCCACTGGGGGTCCCCAGGGCTCTAAATAAATATATGCATAACCAGTAAAAGAATAAACAAGTAAATCATATATATATATATATATATATGTATGTATAACAATGCATTTTCATTATTTTGTATGTGCAAAAAACCTTGGTAGACTGAAAGCAAAAGTATGGGACTCATTCATAAAACAAATGAGTCCCATTTTTTTTCACAATCTCTTCCCTTTTATGACAAAATCCAAGATCCAAACACCACACAATTAAATAATACCAGGTAGAATCCGATTGAGAGGATGATCTTAGCTATTTGATCAACACATTATAAATTTGATTGTTGAAAGGAGTTTGCTCTATTGGTTGCAATATTTCAATTGCAGTGATCTTCTCCTCTGAGCAGAACTCGACTTACAGACTTGTTATATAGAGAACCTGAAATGGATTTTGTTTTTTTCATTATGCATGCTCCGGATTGAGTGCTAAGGCCTCCTGGTAAATCATATCCTTTATCTGCTCTTCGCCCAAGGCTTGTTCAAAATCAAAGGAGAATGGCTCTAGGCAGACTGGTTCATCAGCTGCGTCATATAATCTTGCAAAGTAAGGATGGGCTAATGCTTCCTCAACTGCAGCCATAAAATGTTTTTTGCATTTAAAAATAAGCAAACTAAGGTTAAAATCAAAAATAAAGTCACAAATGTGATGTGTAAAACTTTTGACATGCAATTGAACATTTGAATCCACATGTAAAGTGTTATATAGACCTTATGACAGTGTTGTAATGAATTTCATACTGATTGTAACTAATTTAGTCAACGCATATATAATGACAAAATATATCTAAAAAAAATAGGGCTTCTTAAAAATTTTGAAAACCAATTATGTTGCCCTCTACGAACAAGTCCAAATTATTCATTTGCACAAAGCTTTTTGCATGTTCATATTATGACACCTGTAACTTCTCTGTTTGAATATCTGAATCAGAGTTCACACTCTGATTAATAACTGCTGTCGAAGGTACCTTTTGTTTTGTTAATTTAAACATCAGTGACAAGTAGCTGATTGCAACTTGTGTATCAACCGCCAACTATAGGCTATGTTTCTGCACATTGAGTGAAGACTTCCACATACATAAATGAGTTTTTAACTTGACCAAGAAAACTGTTCCTCATCTACTTCATTGAGTTGACATTGTCAAGGAGATCAACCACTTCCATATGGTTTATTTTCTTAACTAAAATGCTTTCTAGGATGCTTTTTGACATTACAAGGCAGAATCACTTTGATATCATCATTTCATAGTTCCTCCTAACTCATCCCTCCGACCAAAACTAATAAGTAATATTATTTGGTAAATCCACGAAGCAAGCACCAAGTCTTATTAACAAATGGTCAATAACAAACTGTGACGGCTATTCTTACCAAACGATGTTCATAAATCAACAATTAGCCAAAGATATCCAGAGATGCATATGAACCCTAATCTTACCAAACGTTGTTCACAAATCAACAATTAGCTAAAGATATCCAAAGATGCAAAACTAACAAAACAGGATCATGTCCATTTTCATCAATTAGACATCAATCATGACATCTGCTCTTTGGTTTGGCTTGCTCCACCCTTAATTTTTCTGTCTTCTTTTTCTCATTAGTTGGTTATATATTATGTGCCATATTATTTTCTTTTTCTATTCTTTGCTAACCCAGCTTTGTTAGGATATGAGGAGGATGGATTAATCTGATGGGCCTTTGGTTATGGTTGCTAGGGGAAGGGTCAGGAAGAGAGTGTCTGGTTTTGTTTTGAAGGGTCCTTTGTTCTTTACCTTTTTAGAGGAGAGAGTAGAAAACCAGAGTCCAGAGTTTTTTTAATAATTAATTACCCAAAGGTCCTTTTTGAAGTGAGGCGAGTAGGACATTTTTGGTTCAGTTAGTTGAGATTATCTGTGGTTCCACTAGCTGTGCAGTTGTTCCATTTTCCTGTTGGTAGTTGTCATTTTAGGAAATCAAACCGTTTCATGCCTTCACAAAAGAAGAGAAAACAATTTCACTCCAAAAATTAGAACACCATAGAGAAAACAATTGTTGATTGCACATCCACCATCACAATCAAAGCACATACTGATGTAAGAAATTCAAGGACGTGAGATTCATTCATAGCATCTGTTACACTTTTCGTCAAGGCTTGACCAAATAAAAAATATTTCGAAGCAACATATACATTAAATACAGTAAATAAACAGTTTTGCTTCAACCAACCACTTTAATATTTTTTTTTTTTGATTACTCTTTCCAAAAAACAAAAAAGAAACCAACTGCTTTAACATTGTCCAAGCTTATGGTGCCACTTTTGTTTGGTTCCAATAGCATAGACTGCCCCTTCAAAGCCTGCCAAATAACATGAGGAAAAAATAAATAAAAAATTGGGAAACGAACTATTAGAATGTTTACAACAAGAAAATAACATGTCAAATGGAAAACACAAATTGAATAGAAAACAAAACAAATGCAAATTAAGCATCACCAGACAAATAATGTCAAAACATGACTTCAAGGGAGCATAATTTCCGATGGTCATTAGAACTACATCTCACGATCCAACTGGGGGTATTTTTGCAATCAGATTACTTTAATATATATTTTGAAGTAAGGGACAAAAACTGCAAATTTTCTATTTCTATTTTCATAGGCATATTAGCAAACATGTGGTGTGCATAATTTACACATGCATTGAGGAAACAAAATGATAAAAATCTCTCTCTTTTATTTCATATGTATTAGTAAATTTCGTAGGATAATCATTTCAGAAACACATAATATAGAAAAAGGATCAAAGCAATCCATGAAAATTTAACAAAGACTATCAAAATCCAATTACCCAAATAAGGCTGGTAAACTTTTTGTTCATTGAGACATATTGACAAACACTTGGTGTGTATCTATTTAACATATACCTAGGAATGAAAACTGTGTGGGTGAAAATCTGACCACACTGCAATCTTAGTATCCAGCTGGAGAGCACCGGCAGAATAGATGGCACCTGACTAACCTGCAACAGAAAGAGAAGACTCCGGTGGTGATTCACCACCCGGGGGTACTCCGACGATCAAATCAGTACTCAATATCTCTCAAAGATAATTAATAGTGCTAAACTCACTAGCTTGAGCATAAAAAGACATACCTTAGACCCATGGATGTGCCTCTCTTTTATAGCCAACTCAATCCTAGTCCCAATGGAAGCCTAACTCCAATGGACTCATGATTACTGCTAATCTTGGACTCCTAATAGGATCAGGATAAGCTCTCTAAGAGTCTCATCTTTACCCAAACTGAAGTCTCCTCCCATTCTAGGACTCTTGTTCTTTATCTGCTTATCTCGTATTCCAGTATTCTCGTTGATAACCTCGGCCTAACCGAGATCATCTCGGCATCATGACCAGGACACGTGGCACCTCGGCTGGCACTTCGATGACACCTCGGCCACGTGTTGTCATTCAAAAA